TAATTCCTTCCCGAGAAGTGGGAGTTAAGACAAGATTGAGGTAATTAAACAAAAGGAACATAGGGAAGGTGGGGGACCAGGGGTGGAGGCGGAGCTCTCCAAATGCCCCTGTTGTTTAATTTCCTACTGGAAGCAGCCCATGTGTGCTTCTGGGCCCCCCTCCCCCTTCAAGCAGTGGCCGTTGCACAGGCTGAACGGCTGGGGTCAATGCCTTGCCTATTGATCAGTATCCCTGCAGTCCCTTGCTCCAGCAGCTGCTTCATTGGCTTCTTTCAGGGCCTGCTTCAGTACATTAGAATAGAAATCCATAACCAGAGCTGTGCTCATCCAAGCAGGGGAAGAAACTAAATTAAATGGTATAAAACAATCTTGGATCAGGAGTTTGTGCCAATTCATCTTGATCTAAGATGTCACACCGGGCTCTCTGTCTGAGCACCTGGGCTAGAGGCAGCCATAGTGAAAATAGATGGAGCTGCGATCATTCATTTGTCAGCTAAGGAGCAAGGCAGCGGTTAGCAATTCCCTTCTGCAGAGGTCAGCTGACAGAACAATCAGTGCAACTGCAGAATAGAGCTTTCCTTTGAACTATTGTTATGGAGCATGCTCTTGCTGAGACATGGGGGGAGGGGAGCTTGATTTGCTTCCTGTTTCACGACTACTATGGAAAGAGTGAAATGTATACTGCATGAATCTAGCTGCAGCTGCGCAGAGCTCTGCCACTGTGTGTTCTTGTACTCAAAGTTGGGTTTAAATGCATGTACTGAGATACAGATTCTCAAACTGTTAAATATCACTTTCTCTAGAATTTGGGTTCATTTTCATCCTCCTAAACACAGAGGCAGTGGTTATTGATTTTGTTTCTTCTTAGTATGGTTAAGCTTGTAGGTTTCTCCCCCACTTTCGTTATTGGAACTATGACAGATCAGTGGCATACTTGGAATCTGTCATTGCACATACACACTAAGACTCTTGCTAATGTTTCTTTACTTTTAAAAAACTAGAAAAAAAACCATGAAGAGAGAGAATTGCATACTGTGGGATCTGATTGGAAGATATTTCTGAATGTTAAATATTTTTGAACATTTTAATTGAGGCTTTTTGTAAGAAATGTGAATTCATGAAATATGACTTATCATGACCTTGGAAGTGATAAAATAATTTTATTAACGTTGGAGGAATATCCTTGTAAAGCAGCCTGCAAGTGGTTTGAAATATACTATTAAAAAATAAATTAGGGAAATTAATAATAACTAAAATTTTATATGAAACAGTTACAACATTTTTAAAGATCAGTGTATTCTCTGTGGACTCATTTTGGCTTTTGTCTTTCTATACACTGCATGAAAACTAATGGCACATTTTCAGAACTTTTTTTTTTAAACAAAGTATGATACGCAGAAGTTAAGAAACTACAGCAGCAACAACAAATCTTTTTTTTTGTACTCAGTTGAACCAAACTTTTATTTTCCAAATAAACTTTCATGCCTCTTTCTTACACAATTATTCCTTTCCAACTGTTAAATTCTTTGTAATATCCTGCCATTTCCTTTTCATAGGCTCAACTAGGTCTGCTTGCTCACATCCATTCTGCCTTTCAGCACAGCTAAGTAAATGCAATTTAAAGTTTATACTAAAAAGCTTTGCGCTCTAGGTGGTTTTTTTTATTAAGCTTCTAGAAAGACCATACCTACCTACTTACCTTGAAAGGGTTTCTTTTGCTTTGTTTTATTCTTGTTTTAGTTAACTTTTGCTAAAATTATTACTAATTTTTACTATTTTATTTTGTTCTGATTTTATCTTAGTTAATTTTGTTAAGAACTTGAGGCATGACATCTAAAATCTGCAATGTTTCCATCAACTTAACCCAGGATTCACCATGGACCTTAAAGATACCCACTTCTCTGCATCTCCTGTTTACATCCCCAAACCAAACTAATCTTAATCTCTCACTTTGATTTCTACGATATCCTTCTGAACTCCTAAATCTAATTATATCATTCTCTGGCTTAAATCCTACCTTGAGTATCTTCCTATTTTTTATAGGATAAGAATTGAAATGTGAATAGGATCTGTGATGCCATCTGCGGTCTGGCCCTTGCCTGCCTCCCTTGCCTGTTTTCTATCTTTCTCTCACCTCCTAGGCTTCCAACCCAATTACCTTTCCTTGAAATAGAAGTCAACAAATTACTTCATGCTTTAGGTTCTTAAACATACCGTTCTCTCAGTTCATAATCTTCTCATTGATTCTGTAACCTATTTCTGATTCTTATTTAGTAGCCTTTAAGTTCAAAGAGGACAGTGAACTTGCTTTTCACATCTCTTTTCACGTCTAGTATAATGCCATGAACACACCAGATCTTCAGTTCTTATATTGAGACCGAGTAACTGATGTCAGAATGAATGAATTTCTACCACCACTGGTACTTACTGTTTTTCACCTGATCATTGCAGGAGTCTTCTTTTGGTTCTACTGGATACATCTTGTTTTACTTCATAATCTGCCATCCTACTGCTACTATCATGATCTTTCTAACAGTGAATAAATCTGATAGCGCCACCTTATACAAAATTATTCAATACCTTACCATTAACCAAAAGTTAAAAGTCTTCAGCTTGCCCTGCAAAAGTCTCTCTTGATTTGGTGGTACCCCTGTAGCCTTTTGTGTTGTCATTCCCTTGCCTTACCTCCAGTTAGTATAGAATGACAAATGAAGAGACAAAATAAAACAAAACATCTAAAAGCATTCAGAGGTCCCTGCTATTAATTTCTTAGTTGGCATACTGAGCTCTGAGGGCCCTTTGCTATATTGATTTAATTAACATAGAGACAAAGTACTGAAAGGGCTCAGAGAAGCTGGATGGATGACTAGAAAGACTAGAAAGCTGACCTCCAATGAACATGTTTCCAGAAGTTCACTTTTTAAATTTCTCTGTACCAAATATATAGCCATGATGGATAAAATATACAAACAGAAAACCTGAAGAGACATAGCTAGTCTCCAGAAAGATAGATATCTCTGTGGACAAGTAATAAAATAGAAATGATCTGGGCTGAAACCCTTAGCTCCTTTCCAGACGTATGCTTTTGGCTCCTGTGAGCTAAAGAGGACTTAAAATATATCATGAATAAAGCTTAAAGCCAGGAGCTAGGCTATGGCTTTGCCATTTCTTGAAAGGACCCTGAAAGGATGTGAGTATATCACTACTCAGTTAAAATTGAAGTTGTGTTATTAAAGGAGAGGAAAATGGATGTTAACTCTGGCAACGTAAACCATAATAGGTTATGAAAATAAGTGAGTTGTGTTTATCCTAAGAACCTGGAAACAAAACAGGGGTGCTTAGATGACTCAGTGGGTGGAGAATGCAACTCTTGATCTCTGGGTTATGAATTCAAGCCTGTTGGGTGTAGAGTTTACTTAAAAATAAATAAATAAATAAACCTAGAAACAAAAAGAACTGATAGAAAACAAAGTAGAAGGAGAAATAATAAAAATAACAACGAAGTTGGTAAAATAGAAAGAAATGAAATAAGATCAAAACCAGAGTACTTATTTTATTTTTTTAATTTTAGAGAAAGAGTGTGCGGGGGGTGGTGGGTCATGGGCAGAGGGAGAAAGAATCTCAAGCAGACTGCCTGCTGAGTGTGGAGCCTAATACAGGGGCTTGATCTCATGACCCTGAGATCATGACCTGAACTGAAACCGAGAGTCAGATGCGCAACCAACTGAGCCACCCAGGTGCTCCAACAAAGTATTTTTTTTTAAATCTAGTAAAATATATATTTCTAGCAAAACTGATCAAGAAAAGCATGAAAAGTAATATTAGAGAAGGCACAAATAATATTTAGAAGGATCCATAGCAATGATACATTTGAAATACTTTCTCATAGAGAATACTGCAAATAATCTCACACCAATAAATTAAAAAAACTCAGATTAAATAGGTAATCCCTTTAAAACTGCAAGCTATCAGAAATGACTCAAGAATGGGCACCTGGGTGGCTCAGTCATTAGGCATCTGCCTTCAGCTTGGGTCATGATCCCAGGGTCCTGGGATCAAGCCCTGCATCGGGCTCCCTGCTCCACAGGAAGCCTGTTTCTCCCACTCCCCCTGCTTGTGTTCCCTCCCTCGCTGTGCCTTTCTCTGCCAAATAAATAAATAAAATCTTTAAAAAAAAAAAAAAAAAAGAAAGAAAGAAATGACTCAGGAAGAAATAGAAAACCAAACTGAGTAAGTAACTGCCAAACTGTTTTCTAAAGTAGTTGTACCTTTTTACATTTCCACCTGCACTGCATTCATTTTCTGTTCATACTTGACAGCACATTTTATAATCCTTTTTATTGCAGCCATTCTAGTGGATGCAAAGTGGTATCTCATTATGGTTTTGATTTGCATTTTCCTAATGACCAGTGATGTTAAGGATCTTTGATATGCATATTGGCCATTCATATATCATCATATGTCGAATATCTGTTCAAAGTGTTTACCCATTTTAAAAGTTGTGCTTTTTTATTGTTGAGTTGTAAGAGTTCCTCATATATTCTGGATACAGTCCTTTATAGATATATCATTGACAGTATTTTCTTTGAGTTTCTGCATGGTCTTTTTACTTTCTTGAATCTGTCATTTTAAGTGTAAAAGTTCGTAATATCAATGAAATCCAATTAAAGAAATTTTTTAAATTGCTTCTGCTTTTGGTATCTTATCTACGAAATCATTGCCTACCCCAAGATCATGAAGTTACATCTCTCTGTTTTCTTCTGCAAGGTATTTTGTTTTGGCTTTTACATCTACTAGTACTGTGAATCTATTTTGAGTTGATTTTTTTGTGTAGTGAAATGTGGAAGCCCAAATTCATCCTTTTGCAGTTGGATAACCAGTCACCTCAGTGCCATTTGTTGAAAAGACTGTTCTTTCCTGAAAGAGTAATCTTGAAATTTTTTTATTATTATATGTCTTTTGTGTATTGATATTTTTTTAACTTATGTTTTGGTTTTCAGGTTGCTTATCAAGTATCCCACAAATGAAAAAGATTTCCACATCTTATGAGGAAAGACGGAAGCAAGCTACTGCTATTGTTTTACTAGGAGTAATAGGAGCTGAATTTGGTGCTGAAATTGAACCTCCTAAATTGTTGACCAGACCTCGAAGCTCTAGTCAAATTCCTGAGGGATTTGGCTTGACTAGTGGTGGATCCAACTACTCACTGGCCAGACATACTTGTAAGTTATAAAATTCCTAATGCTGATTTTTAGTTTCAATACGTATTTTTTGTTAACAAAACCTCAGAATACATATGCTGAGTTTTAGCCTCAACAGAATGCTGACATGCAGTCAGGAAGCAGTACAGTCTGTCTGGTACATCACCCTTTGGTTGTAGTACCCAAACTTTTTAAAATTTAAAACATGATCTTGAAAATGCTTTTCTTAACACATTTCTGATCTTTGTGTTCGCACATTTCAGTCAGGATTTTAGCGCAAACATCTAATTTCTAAAATAATTTCTATAAAACTATGCATTATGTCCTGAATGTGGTTTGAAAAGTCAGGAGCGGGGATGGATTAGTTACAGTCAGAGTTCAGAGAGCTTGTGTGGTCCTGCTGCCTTGTATTCTGTGCTTGGTATGTTAATAACAGGTTACGGGTATTTTATAATGTCTTCTGGTAGTTCAGTGTTAGAACTCCTTTAGGTAAGGTCAAAATATTCCTACCATATTGCAAAATTATTTCTAACAAGTTCTGTCATTATAAGGACCAAATATAGTCCCACTGAATATATCACAAAGTATTCTTTATAGAACAAATTGCAATGCGCTTTGGGGTTTTGGGCCCTTTAGCAAGGGAAAAAGATATATGATGTGTTACTTTGCTAGTTACAAGAGCAGGAAACTTCCCTGGCTCATTGTCACATACTTCTGCTGTGAAATCATGGAGCCATATTAGTAGCTTTTATTATTAAAACCCTCCTATAGATTTAGCTGCCTGTCCCCACCCCTGCTTTTTTTTTTTTTTTTTAAGATTTTATTTATTTGAGAGAGAGAGAATGAGAGACAGAGAGCATGAGAGGGAGGAGGGTCAGAGGGAGAAGCAGA